CTTTCATTTAAAGGTACAGTCAATCGAAAATCCAGAGCGCATGCTCAGTGAGGGGTGGTCATACCTCGGAGGCGGGTAACTTTTGGGATGGAGGTGTGTGTTGGCATTATAATGAGCGTATAATAAGAAAAGTTCAAGCAAAGTTCATCCGAGAGGAGTGAGCTGCCACTTTTCTGGCTCAGCACCGGACTTTTTATCGTATATCTCCCATTGGACAGCTGCTGTGTGTCTTATCAGCAGTCCAGCACAGGGAGTGCAACMGTGTTTGGCCGCGGGGTCTTCACTCCGCTCCATCCTCCATTACTCCCCTTTGCATCTGCAAGGAGGGCAGATTGTGTTGCCCAGGCAACCATGGAGGAGCGGAGTCCATGCGTACCAGCCATCCTGGAAGTGGCAACTGTGTCTCACAGCCCAAGCAAGCTTCTGCAATGCCAAAACTTATGTTAGGCCCTAGTTTTMCTCTCAGTTCCCGTTTTCAAAAAATTTTTCCACAGTTTGTTTTGTTGTCATCGTCGTCTGGTTGGAAATCATATTGCTCAGAAACTTTTCACATAGGACTATATTTATTAACCAATCTTTCCTCAAAGTTTGGCCAAAGGCAATGTAGTCATGCCAAAAATCATATAATTTATAACAAAATATAGCTAGATATACTTGTCAGAGTTTCAAAATCAAACATATATTTCTATATATCTAAAAATAATAGGGAATAAATACATAGACTTAAGCACTTCAATTTCTGGATTTTATGATAAAACTCTTATAGCATAGAATCATAGAATGCTTAAGGTTGGTAGGGACCTCAGAGGTCTAGTCCAACCCCCCTGCACACGCAGGGTCACCTAGAGCATGTGGCAAAGGGCTGCGTCCAAGCAGGTTTTAAAGATCTCCAGAGAATGAGACTCCACAACCTCTCTGGGCAGCCTGTTCCAGTGCTCTGTCACCCTCACTGTCAAGAAATGTTTTCTTAAGTTCCTCTGGAACTTTTGGTGCCTCAGCTTGTGGCCGCTTCCTCTAGTCCTATTGCTGTCCACCACTGAAAAGAGGAAGGCCCCCTCCTCCTCACTGCCTTGAGGTATTTATAGACACTGATCAGGTCCCCCCTCAGCCTTTTCTTCTCCAGGCTGAACATGCCCAGCTCCCTAAGCCTTTGCTCATAGGGCAGATGTTCCAGGCCCCTGATCATYTTCGTAGCCCTGTGCTGGACTCTCTCCAGCAGCTCCACATCCCTCTTGTCCTGGGGAGCCCAGAACTGGACACAGTCTCCAGATGTGGCCTTACCAGGGCTGAGTAGAGGGGGACGATCACCTCCCTCGACCTGCTGCAGACGCTCTTCTTAATGCAGCCCAGAATCCCATTGGCCTTTTTGGCCACCAGGGCACACTGCTGCCTCATGGTCATCTTGTCATCCACCAGGACGCCGAGGTCCCTCTCTGCGGGGCTGCTCTCCAGCAGGTCAACCCCTAATCTGTACTGGTGTCTGGGSTTATTCCTCCCCAAGTGCAGGACCCTGCACTTGCCCTTGTTGAACTTCATGAGATTTCTCACTGCCCAGTTGTCCAGTCTGTCCAGGTCCCTCTGGATGGCAGCACAGCCCTCGGGGCTATCAGCTACTCCTCCCAGTTCGGTATCATCAGCATACTTGCTGATGAATGAATAAGTTTAATGAATAAGTTGAACAGGACCGGACCAAGGACTGACCCCTGGGGGACACCGGTCTCCAACTAGACTCCACACCAATGACTATCACTCTCTGAGCCCTGCCATTGAGCCAATTCCTAATCCACCTCACCATCTATCCCACACCTTCGGAGCTTGCCCAGGAGGATGCTGTGAGGGACAGTGTCAAAAGSCTTGCTGAAGTCCAGATAGATGACATCCACCGCTCTGCCCTCATCTATCCAGCTAGTCATTCCATCATAGAAGGCGATCAGGTTAGTCAAGCATGATTTCCCCTTGATGAATCCATGCTAGCTACTCCTGAGCACCTTCTTCTGCTCCATGTGTCTGGAGACAGCAGCCAGGATGARCTGTTCCATCACTTTTCCGGGGATGGAGGTGAAGCTGACCAGCTTGTGGTTGTCTTGGTCCTCCTTCTTGCCWTTTTTGAAGACTGAGTGACACTGACTTTCTTCCGGTCTTCAGGCACCTCCCCTGTTTGCCAGGATCTTTCAAAGATGATGGAGAGTGGCTTACCATTAACATCCGCCAGCTCATGCAGCACTCTTGGGTGCATCCCATCGGCGCTCATGGGTTTGTGGTTGTCAAGTTTACCTAAGTGTTCTCTAATACAATCTTTCTCTACTCAGGACAAGTCTTCCTTTCTCCAGGCTTCTTCTCTTGTCTGCAGGGTCTGGGATTCCAGAGGGCTACTCTTGGTAAGCACAGAAGCAAAGACGGCATTCAGCACCCCTGCTTTTTCTGTATTTTTTGTAAACAGGGCACCCACCCTATTCACCTGCGGACCCACGCTTTCCCGTATCTTCCCTTTGCCTCTGATATGTTTCAAAGAGCTCTTCTTGTTGTCTTTAACACCCCTTGTCAGATTCAATTCCAAATGTGCCTTAGCCTTCCTCGTTGCTTCCCTGGATTCCCTGACAATATTTCTATATTCCTTCCAAGTGGCCTGTCCTTTTCCTTTTCCCCATCTGTATACTGCCTTCTTCTGTTTGAGTTTTGCCAGGAGCTCCTTGCTCATGCATGCAGGCCTCCTGCCACCACTGCCTTTCTCACAGGGATGCACCGCTCTTGAGCTTGGAGGAAGTGATGCTTGAATGCTAACCAGCTCTCTTGTGTCCCCTTTCCTTCTAGGCCCTAGCCCATGGGATTCTTCCAAGTAGGTCTCCGAAGAGGCCAAATTCGGCCCTCCTGAAGTCCATGGTTGCAAGACCACTTACAGCCCTGCGTCTTGCTAATTGGATCCTGAAATCCACCAATTCATGATCACTGTGGCCAAGGCTACCTCCCCCTCCTTTTCGCATCTTCAACAAGTTCCTCTTTATTTGTTTTTACTAGGTCCAGTAACACATCTATGTTCCACCACTTTTCCAGAGCTAGAGGTGAGGTTGACTGGCCTCGATTTGCCTGGGTCTTCTAATTTTCTAGAAAGAATATTTCTAAAAAGAAAATTCTAAAAATATTATTTTCTAAACAAATTCTAAAATTTTAATGTAATTTAACATTTAATGTAATTTTCTAAAAACCTGACTGCGAGGCTACTTCCAGCTCTGTAGAAGGCCTTGTCGGGGAAAGGGTTAAACTGAGAAGCAGTGAGGAAAACAGGAGGCACTGAGAGAGTGAGGGTCAGGGAGCGGGAGGAGCCACGAGGCAGGCAAGATGGAGGAGCCATAAAGCCACTAGACCGGCAGGAGGAAGGGCACGAGGAAGACCAGTGGAGGACCATAA